CAAAACGTGAATGATCATCTTCTTTCTAGTTACCAACATTAATTTGATCAGAAAAGTTTATTTCATTCAATGATAGATGATACTTTTTTCAAAAGAAAAAGTTAAACATATTCTAATATATCAGAGTAAAAAACAAAAACAGGTGTTCTTTAAAGGATTGAAATTTATTGAAATATTTTTTTCATTTTATTCGCATTATCTTCTTCCAATTTTAATCCTTATTACTTTTAAAGAAATATTGGATTGGAAAAAAAAGGATGATAGGGTGAAATTAAAGGAAAAGGAAAGAAGTTTGTTCTCGTATTTTCTACACACACAAAACGGGTTTTAAAGTATTAATTCTAACCATGGAGAGTTTTTATAACGAGACTTTTGAAATAATAAATAGGTTTAGTTTTTTGTTTATGCATAAAGTCATATTTATGAATATATATATATATATATATACAACAACGACAAAAAAAAAAAGAAACTTTCTTTCGTTCTTTCTATTTTTCTTCTTCTTCTTCTTCTTCTTCTTCTTTCCCAGACGTAAATTCGCATGAAATAAGAACATACTTTTCATGACTTGACATACCACACAAAGCGTAAAAAATCAAAATATATTTTCTATATTCCCGTAGAAAATGAACTCCATTGTCAGAAAGATTACTTTTCGCGTTATTTCCAACGACAAAGTTTTAATCATAAAGTATAAGAAGGGTAGAAAAAAAAACAACAACACATAACGAAAAAGAGAAGAAAAAGAAAAGAAAAGAAAAGAAAAAAGAAAAATATATTCAAATGAAAGGAAGAGTAAAATAAAGAACGCAAAAGTTACTAACAATTTACTTTACTTTGTGTTAAGAACGTGAAACAGAGATTCACGAAGAGACAATTGAATTCTATCAAGTTTCGTGTTTGAATTCCTTATTCCAACTTTCGAACTTTTGATATTTTCCAAAGAGTTTCTTTTTTTTTTTTTTCTATTCGATGAACATTTATTTTCTTTTTTTTTTTTTTCTTTGTCAATCGATGGAATTCGAAAATTCCAACGCGTATAAGATTTTTATTGTATCCAGGTGGTGAAAGAAGTAAACGAATTCTTTCGATTTTCTAGAAATGAGAATACAGATTGAAAAAATTATTTTGAAAAAATGTATATACCTTGAATTTAATAAAAAAAAAAAAAAAATAAAAACAAAATGTATATAAAAATCGTTCAAAAATTTGTTGAATTATTGACAATTAACAAATACAGCTATAATATAATTTTGTATTATAATAATATATAATATATTATTATAATATTAATATTAATATATTCAATTATTTATAAATAATTATAATTAATATAAATAATATATAATATATTATTATCATGTAGAGGGGGGCCTTTGGGGTAAACACCCTAAAGGGGTATACCTGAAAATAAAAAAACTTCTATATAATATATTATTATAATACAATAATATTATTATTTAATAGTATTATAATAATAATAATAATATATATATATATATATATATATATTATTTATTTATTTATTTATTTATTTTTTGTTCATTCGATAAATCTTTTATATAGAACTTCAATAATTCAAATGAACTATTGGAAATAAAATATATGATTCAAATATTACTATTATTATTATTATTATTATTATGTGGTTAACGGCCTTGCCGTGATGGAAACACAAGTTCTCGTCCGATCACTTAAGTTAAGCATCACTGGGCACGGTTAGTACTTGGATGGGTGACCGCTTGGGAACACCGTGTGCTGTTAACGCTGGAATAGAAAGGAGGAAAAGAGGAAGGAAAAGAAGGAGGAAAAAAGAAGGAGGAAAGAAGGAGAGGAAGAAGGAGAGGAAGAAGGA